CCCTGGAGACCTGATTGCCGAATAAGCTTTGGTGAACTTGCAAGAGGGACGAGTCCTTTTGTGGGAACGGCGAACATGATAGTTTACTAAAATTTGGTATTTCAACTAGTGGTGTGTACTGGCTACTAAGAAAAGCACACTATCCCAGAATGGTCCTCCCGTTCTGACAAAGTTTTCCATGTATTCGTTGTTAAAAGTCGTGATAAGCGCATAAATTCAATGGGAGGCAATATTAAAAGACTGATCCACTTTTCACACTCTCAAATTTGCTCATTCCTTTTCGTGGACATGGAAGTCCAATCCAATTTTAGCCCTTTACAACCTTATCCAAAGAAATTTAACTCACTCTGCCTAATCCTCTTATTAGTCAAAAAATAGCGACTAATTGAAAAAAGTCTTACGTTAAGAGCGGGAGCCTGCAGAAGCACATGGACGGATTGAACGACATCGGCAGCGTGAATTTTGTTGTGATAGGGGGTGTAGGCGTTGTAATGCGACTCCACTGATCGTAGATATCGCAGGAGGTTCCAGTGGGGAATTTTGAATTTATTTATTAACCCGCGTCGCTGGAAGGAGTAAGAAAATAAACAAAATGGCATCAGTAGCCACACATTCAATCCATTATTTCCTCACATATGATTGTAATATCCTGAATATTTCGGACCGGCTTCGAGATCTACAAGTGGGATCTAGTATTCCCTTAGTTTTGAAATTCATCAATCAGTCGCATTTCTTACAGGGAGCAGTACACCTTCACTTCAACCGAATGACTTGTGGAATTTCGGATTGATGAGATTAATTTATGACCAGCTTGAAATTTTCATTTTTTAACTCTAAATGAATACGCGGGAAAAAGTCCTCAGAAATCCTTGCTGAGGTCCATGATGTTTGGAGGTAGTTTTGTTCATTGTAGACACAGTTAACTGCTTTCCTAATCCAGAGACCTCAAAGAGGAGAATGAGGCAAAATTTGGCTGAACTTTCTGGCCGTATCCTTAATTCGCCCTTCTTCATCTCCCTACGCTAAACAAATATTTTTTTGGGACAATACTTGACAGTTCTTTTAGAAATTTGTCTGATGAATTAAGCATGGATTTTGTCGATTAGAAGTATTCTAAACCCAACCCCTCCTTCTCCTCCCTCTCAACAAAGGGTAATGACGTAGTGGAGGAATTCTTCGCCAGGATCTTTGAGGTGACGAAATAATCTAGTCCATTATTGACTAGATTACGTTCTGCCTTAATCCTGCAACTTCAAAGAAGTGAAACTATAACAAGACAGCAGTCGTTAATCCTACCACCCTAAATAAAGACCGTCCTTGGATAATCGTAAGTGGATATTAATAAAGTCTATAAAGGAATTTCAACCCGTTCGGCACTCATCCATGAAAGTGGGGGATTCTGGAGCATTTGCAGCTGTTTGAAGGCCACCATTTCCGGTTATTCAGTAGTCCGAGTGAGGAAAATTTCGTTTCTCTTTTCTTTCCTACTCTCATTTTCGGCAAATCTTGCTTTACTATGTGGGAGGGATAGCTCAAGAGTGTCGCTTTTCACTACCTTACCATCGAAGCAAACAGCGTTTCCTTATCTCCCATCCTCTCCAATAAAGCGTGACTTAGTTCCATTTGACAGAAGCAGAAGTGTTTGCTTTGGTACAACTAGAAGTAGTTTGAAGGTTGGGTGTTGCATTTGTGAGAGGAGAGGTGGGAGAGGGAGAGAAAGACAGTTGTATTTTCATCCTTCATGTCAAACATGCACAAGCCGCTGTCAAGCGATGTGCTAATCAGACGTCTCTGACGAACAGGTGATAAAGATTTATACCCTCTTCCGTTCCTCATTCCTACTTTCCTCTCTTCATTCCGGGGACAATTTTGGCTGAGAAATTAAGCAGTACCACAATAGTTGTGATACATCTTGTAGTTCAACGGCCCCTCAAGCCATTATCCTGACTTTTAGTCATCGAGTTTGACAGGTAGCGGCAATCCAAGGAAGCATCTGCAGGAGGAAGCTCTTTGTGGTTTTTAAGGAGGTCAGGGATTAAGTTCTTTATCTTGGAATGAAATGAAGAGAAATTCAGCATCTTAAATGACTCAAAAGAGGGAAGATGCTACGCGAGACACCACATCTTTTACACCCTTATTTCGACTCTTAAAATCGAAAGTATTTGATCTTATCCGAGTCCTTGGATTAAACATCTACTTTCCTTAGCTGGCGCTAGACTTGAGAGTAAAGGTACATTACAAGCTTCACAACGAATGCCAAATTTTGAAAATGAACAACCATAAACCCACTTTTACGGTAAAGACAAAGATTTAATCAAAGGAATTTAAGCACGCGCACACGAATACACTTATTTCCGCCACAATCATTCAGGTCTTCAAAATTTGTTCATTCCACGGATCTCATCATACCAACCAAACAGTTAGTTGCATAAACAATGCAAATCCAGCCATGAATAAAAAAGCGCCCATTTAGAGTAAATTACATATTGAGGGGGATGGGTTGGGCCTCTCATGTCCGAGCTTCCAAATGAGTTGTAAGAACGCGATCTGAGGCGAATTGTGCGGTATCAGTAATTCGGACCAACTTAGTCGATTGGTTGACTGGCGGATCAATTGTCTGATTGGACGATTGTGTTGACAGCATTTTTCGGCTCTTTTCCTTACTAAATAGTCATGCAGAACATGATTTCCTTTGTAGATACGCCGTGCCGCACCGAACTTTCATTCTGGCAGTCAGATTTGCCTCGGAAAGTGAGCTCCGTGATAGGTCTAATGCGGTTTATGAGTTCAAAACACCAAAACTGGAAGGAAGTGGATGCATCTATCTGTCCAACTATCACTCTGTCTATCATTTATCCACCTACTGGTCTATCCATCTACCCGTTTTACGAGCTACCCGTCTAGCCGTCCATCCATTCGGTTACAATCCGGTAAAACTACATTAAACCACAAGTACATCAGATCTGGAAGCCAGGGGTCTGCATAAAAATTTTCATTTCATCAAAAGAATATAAACAGCTTAAATCCCGCTTCGAAATTTCTTTACTATCGGTGAAATTACTACTAAGCGTATTCTTTCCTTTATTTCTCAATTACACTAGCTTTTTCTTAGTTGTGAATTAACCAAAGGGATTGTTAAAAACATCAATCGCACAAAATTCTAACAATTTCTATTTCAGTGCATAATTTATAGTTAAAGCAGACATTAAAGGTGACCTTCATTCAACCAATCAAGAGCTTGGCACCTACAAAAATCTTTCCTGATTTGCACCTCCGACTTTTGCAGCCCTATTCTATCCATTTGTGTTTCGTGCCTTCTTTCAACTGGATGTCAAATCTGTTTCCCCCTTAATACTCCTCACTACCAAATAATACCTACTTCTGGTCGTTTGTAGTGTTAAATTTACCATATCATTAGGAAAGTGAATCAAATAAGGGACATAGTAAGGTCAAGAAAAGCCTAGCCAATGGAGTTTACCAACCTAGAGGAGGAACCAATAGCGTACACTCACCTTGAGGATTGTGTAAGTGACGCAGGTTAGGGGATTAGGGGTACACTCGGCCAGTTTAAAGATATCCATGCCCCACTGATCGAGACTACCTTCCAGGAGCTGTAAAATAGACAAATTAACAGGATAGATTTAGAGGAAAACCTTTCAAGTAACTTAATTGAGATGGCATACGTGATTTTTGCTAACCAAGATTCGCAAAGAAGTGTTTGAGTATCATTGCCAATGTGGCACGCTAAAACCCTTTGTTCAAAGAGTTCGTAGCAAATTTTAAAGTAAAAATTTAATCGACGCCTTTTGCTTTAATTTAATTGTCATTCCAAATGAACGCAAAGCTGAAAGTGCTTCAGGCAATCTTAAAACCACCGGAGCTAATACTTCCCGCGCATTTTCGGTTGGGTTTCGCAAATGATTCGCATAATCATGGATCCTAAATTCGGTTTGTTCATATTTAAAAGGATAAAGGAAGACCACTTTAGTACTGGTTCGCTCTAAATGGACCAAATTGGTGTTTGTTGAATCGCCTACTGTACTGACCTTATAATTATGCAAATGTCCATTTACCTCTTAGTCTGCGTAAATAAAAGCAACGATTTATGGCTGAAAAACAGGAAGTCGCGTCTCCTACTGGCATACGGAGCATACTAGATTTAAAAAGTCGCCCATCTTTCAGTATTATCTTCCGAATAGATTGCCCTCAAGACAATTCAACGTGAAGAAAAAGCACCATCAAGGCCTGCGGCACGCAGTACCACGAATAGCTAATATTCATTCGATTTTAAACATCATTATCAATCCCGTCTTGAGGATGGTTGTAATTCACACAAGACCTCGATACAGTCGGAGCGGAAGAGCTCAAAAGAAGAAGGGTGCCCATCCATTGATTTGGCATTGAGTCTACAACCAATTATGCGGACTCTTCAGGCCACATAGATTGAACTTCCTTCTCAGCGGCCGGGAGGCCAGGCCTATAGCCTGCTAGGCCCTCTCTATACATAAAGCACCTAATTTCCTTCACACTGGAATGATCTATTGCGACTTCATGGAGGGCTAGTTGTAGGACAATAAAATTGAAAAAAAAAACAATTTGTCCAAATAACTTTGCAAGTTTTATATGTCACTTTGAAAAATTGGGCAAGTTAAATTTTTCCGGACTCAGCGCTCCAATTTATAGCAAATAAGTTGTGAATTGCACCTCAAAGGCAGTAGAACAATTTCGAATTACGCTCCTTCATTATGCAAAAATTTGGGATTCGAAGTTCACACAGCACTACTTCAAAAGCAGTGACTACAAAGTTGACGTCAGCAGGCACCCTGAGAAATTTGTAATTCCCGTTTCACCCGTTTGCACCAAAAACAAAAGTGCAGGTTTATTTTTGGAGTTCAAATAAAACCCAAGACCCACAACACTCCAAATTCAACCGGTATAAAACGCTAGTCACTACCGTTGGCCTTTTAAGTCAGAACTTAGGATAATTTTAAGCCCAACTACTCTTCTTCCGCTTTTTGTTTTCCAAAAATTAATGAAAACGACTAACTTTTGAATTGAACCACTACAAAAAATATGAGCTAGTAAACGCTGCCATTTTCAACTCTGAGCTCAAATTTTTTCGGTCAATTCTATCGATACGCCTAATTTTGAATTTCCAAGAGCTAAAACAAATACAAAGGCAGTTCTGAATCCAGGCAAGCATTGCAGGTGATGAAAACGGTATCTGCAGAAGGAACAGTCGCAGTAGAGTAGTTGTGACAACCGTAAAAGCGCATTGCTCATACAAAGTACACCTTCTCCCCTTCCTCCTCTATCTCTTCCTCCTCCTTCTCTTCCCCTTCCGGCATACTCTCCCTTTTCTCTCCACCTAATGCAGAGCAGCGGGCTAGTGATGGCGCAAATAGGGCCGTACCGAAAAGTACACCGCCGTTTGCGCTGCGAGGTCATCGCATCAACAGCTCAGTTCGTTTAGGACTGTTGCAAAGCTTTCAGGCATGGAGGCATGCAAACTTCCATCCCCATCACAGTGGTAGATAAAATTAACTATTGGACAAGGGCTGACACCTTTTTTGGGGCATCATGTACGATCAAACTTCTAGTCGCCTAGTTGACAGCTGTCAACCAGGCCCAGGGTAGGAAGGTGAAGTAAATCAAATAATTTTGGGTAGTACAATTATGGTACTTTGTTGAGAAGAAATAGTGGATAAAGAGGCCAGATTTTGCATGGCAAAGAAAACGCTAGACGGGAATAACAGGAACGAAAAAAAAGCACATCTTCAATTTTAACTGGCTGGCCAACCAATTAATGGAAAATAAGTACGTAATTTCACTCTCAGATAAAAGGATTGCCGATTTGTAAAGTTGTTTGGACTTCTCAAAGAGAAAATAGAGTTACGTAGCTTAAAAATGCACTGAACTCCTTTTAATATATGTAAACAATGTCAGACTGGGACTTGTAAAACTGGTCATTCACTTCGAGGGTTTTTTATGGAATGGATAGATAAAGGTGATGTAAATTAAAAGGTTAAACATGGAAAAAGGGAAAATACTAGTGACTAAACATTTTTCAAATTCTAAAAAAGGTTTCATTTTAAATCTATCGCCAAAAATTGTCAGAAATGGTAATATGGCTTGTGAACCAGTAGGAGATTTGTGCGATCGCTACTAGGATAGGATGACAAATTCAACCACTACAGCTCAGCTATTTCACCACCCTCCTTAGGGTCTCGCTGCTTCAAAACTGAAAAATAATGTATTATTTATCGTTCGCTGATCAAACGATCTGCTTGCAACGGACGATTTGATGCATCCAGTTGTAACAAAGCGATTAGGATCGCGTGTCACATATATGTGACGCTGGAAGTGAACGTGTTAGGAGGGCTTTAGCAACTTCTATAAAATCTAAATACCCTATCTGAAGGAAAGAAACGCTTACTTTAAACTTTGTTCCCGAAATATTCCGCCTCAAAACATGAGACGAGGTGGCATGGTCGTCCGGTTATTCACCTGTTGCTTTTCACTTTTCTTCCCTCTTTTTGTTTATTTCACCCTCTTAACCACAGCCCAACATGCAGTGGTAAGTATTTGATTCAAATGTCGCATAGCTTGACGTTGTTCATTGAAATCTCCACTCTGTTTCATCCACTCCAGAAAATTTCGCCTATTTTTAAAAGTATTTTCTTCTTTATTTTTGAACTGCCGCCAACCTCTGTTTGTAAATAAGAGGCGAAGTCCTCATATTTACAAAGCAAAGGTTATCCCATCTGGCAATCTGGTCTTCATCTGGCAGAGCTAATTCCACTTTCACGAGCCAATCCCGTGATTCAAAGACTACCAATGACAAGTTTGTCAACTCATTTAAAGAGCGTTAAGTAAACTGAATATCGTGTTTACTCTTCGTGAAATTGGACTAGTCTTTGTGAAAAGTAAAACAAGCCCTTCACATTAACCCCATGATAAAATTGTGCTGTCTTAAGTGGTTTAACAAATAAATTATTTAATTTAAAAACGGACAGATACTACTTAATGATCCGGTTCTATTTCGTTTGGAAATAATTCAGTCATGTTGACACCTTGAATGACTAATTTCGGCTCATTGTTGATCCTTCAGTATTTATAAACAGAAGCTCAAAGAAAGATCAATCACCGCAGCCCTAGAGCTTCATTCATCTAACAATGATACTAATAGCTCTTTCTTTCCGTTCCAACTAGTTTCCTTATAATTAGATGTACCAACCTTGCGCGAGGTGACAAAGTTGGACGCTCACTTGTGTGTCGTTGGCAGTGGGAGTGTTTTCGGATCCATAAGTTGGTATCAAATTGATTAGAAAAGTCACTGGAACCCCAAAGCCAACAATGTCTACTTAGTGATTTACATCCCGACTGAGAGAACTCATTGCAACCTGCCTGCAATAGCCAAATTAGAGGAAAAAGAAAACGAAACTGCATGGTAAAAAGCATGAAATAGTTGCCACGAGCAACCAGAGGCTGAATATCATGTTTCTTGTGTGATGTGAGAATTGGCTTTTATCGCGATTTCACCCTCCTCTCTACTGCTATTAATATAAAAGGCTTTTCTTTGATTTATTCTTCGCCTAATCAGATTTGGCATAGCAATGTTTTTCGCCAGGATTCTTGGAAGACATCAACCCCAATTGAAACTCGTGTCAACGCTGACTCATTGGCATTTACTTATGCGCTGACTTGGTGATTCAAGTTCCGCTGGACACGATCCCTTCTAGCAGTGAGCAAGCAGTTTGAAGAACTGGTGAAGAAGAGTTTTAACAACAATGCCGCTTAAAGTAGTCATAGGAGAGGAATTATTAGTCTTTGAGGCGGTAAAATGCTTTATGAATTGTGAAGAAAGCCTTTCAACGGTTAACAAAATGACAAAGTCGTGTCGTTGACACCGCTGTGAGACCATGTTTCATTTTGGAACGACTTAACAGCATCATTACCAATTCCGATTTAACAATAAACATGTCTTTAGGGATAAAATTTTTGAGGCTGTCAGCGAGACATTTCTTCCCTGTATTCTTCCTTGAAGCTGTCACTTAATTACGATTCAGTTTCAATGACTACATGGAGGACTAACTGATGCCACCAAGTAGGCAGCACATTGTCCTGCTGGAATTACACAGTAATAACAACTAAAGTGCCATCATGAATCTATTTTTTCTGAAGAAGTTCCAAGTTTACATTTCAGTGGGTTTCAAATGTGTTTGAGTTAGAGACAAATACACCAAAAACTACGTAAAAGAAAGGCACATCCCGTAGATATCCGAATCTGAAATGTCCAAAAACTGAAGGATCTTAAAAACTGCCAAATTGAAGACCTTAATTTGAAACATGGTAGATAACAGACTAAAGTACAAAGGGAAGGTAATACGCTTGAGTAGTAGGACAAACCAGACCTAGTACTTCGTAAATGCTCCCGCAATAGGTTTCGTGCGCCAAATGCGTTTAACCACCAGCCGAAGCCAATCCCCTTAACAAAAGGCGCGATTTGGGAAATCCCATTAAAATTCATGCGAGATGTACTGACCCAAGTGCCAAGGCTTCCTTACATTATTCCCATTCCCCACTGACGTCGTTGTTGCAACGGCTAGGCTGAAGGTGTGTAACAAAACGAGGAGCGCTGAGGACGACGGCGGGAACGAATCAATTGTTATATGCCAATGTAACATTTATTTTAATCGCCCTCGGCTATCAAGCAGATTCCAATCATGTTGATTACCTTCCAGACCTTTTGACGCTAATAATAAACTTTGCTTCTAGATTCGTACACCTCATTATGTATTCAGAAGTGCCTCACCCCAAAAAACAATGGTGAGTGCGCTGGAGTAAATACACAAGGAGGGGGTTCAATGATCGCAGAATTCCTCGTTGCCCTCTTTACATTTCTTCCCAAAAGGTGGAGGGAGGGGAGGGGCGGAGATTTAAAAAATCAATTTCAATTATTAGAAGCATTATTTTTGTCATCAGACGAACACTTGTGCCAAGAGTTCCGTTAATATTGGGCCAACTGACACAAATATATGCAAAGGTTTTTTGACAACCTTCATGCGCATACACACACCCTAACGAGATGTTCTTTAGTTCCACGTCATGTGATTCGAGTACGCCAACCGTGGGAGGAAAAAACAGGTCTACTTTTATAACCTGTTAGATGTGAAACACCATACTCGTGGTCGGAGGTGGGGGCGTGACAGTATTGCGGAATTCCAAGCTCGATTTCAAGTGTGGATCTCCTTCAAATTTCCCTATTCTGTATTTGGATCTATTTGGGTGTTGAGGAGATCAAAATCTCTAATTGAAAAAGTTGATGATAAAAAAGTGGTCGTCTTTATCTGCTTCAGTGTTTAACCGCTAGGAGGTGGCAAGAAAATACCCGGGTAAGTATGGGTAAACTGTCAAAGTGGAGGAGGAGACACTGTAACTAACGTTAGGCCGTAAAAAAGTGAGCAGTATGCTATGAGGTATGCAGCTGGGATATTCGAAATGGATCTTTACGTTGAACGTTCAGCGTCTTGGAAATAAAACATTCGATCCCCTCGAACCAGTGGATGCACAGTCAGAGATATTACCCTTGGTCTCTTTACTTTCACCTTTCAGTTTTCCTTTATCCAGATTTCTATGCACCTCTCTTAAGGCAGTCTTCCTAAATCCATGGATGGGCTTATATGAGGCCAAGAAAACAATGTGACATCAACTAGAACCACTAAGCAACGGGATATTTTTCGAGGCAAGGTTGTGGCTAGTTCATAAACAACAAGTTGGTAGATAGAGAGAAAGTTGGTTCTTTCTGATACTTGGCCCGTACCTTAGGATGAAGTCACACTTCACGTGGGAGACAGACCTGATCTGAGGTCAAGGCAATAGATCGTGATAACCAGCTGAAAATGGCTAATGTGGAAAAGGGGGTTTCAAAACCAAAGATGTCACGCGCAAAAAACTACATTTTGGTTTTACAAAACCTCAAAATCGGATTCAAGTTGACAATCGTAAATGCATGCATCTAACCGAATCTGACATGCCCCAGTAAGACAATGGCATTAGGAATTCCACATCAATATGAGATTGGGGGAAAGGAGACTGAAGACACTCCAAAAATGGACCAACATGTCTCAGATGTTTCTTACAAATACGACCGAGCAAACCAAATAGCAGATATGGGATCGTAAAAACAAAGGTATGAGACGCATTAGAAGAGGTATAGTCAGAATATGAAAAGACGACTTCCAAAAATGAGAGTAAATCAAGCACCTCACCTCGGTAATTTCCTCTGAATGCTCAGAAATGACGCCGTAGGGAGGTGGGGGCTCTGGCAGATCCTCAAATTGAGCCACCTTCTTAGGATCCACACCAAGTCCTGTCACGCCGCCATTGACACCCAATATACTCGGCACGAAAGGGGAGGAGACGGAGGCAGCAGAGGATCGATGTGAGTCGGTCAGTCGACCAGGACCGAGCAAAACCTCACTGGGACGCTTCTGTTGGTAATGGAGCGGTAGAAGTAAAAAGGATGAATTTAGTGGAAGCATCGAGATCAGATACGATTTGAATAGGGGCTAGTTTAAGGTATTTTATTATCACTGGATTAAAAAGTCTACTTGCCCTACCATAGTCCAGTTGCGGCGACACATTTCTGTATCATCAAAGCCGTGTTAAATTATAGACAACAGTGAAGATGAATTTTAAAACCATTGGCTCAGCATCATCCCAATTTAATGCAACCAAACTGTATGAGAACTGAAGAATTTCGATAGATGTGTACGTGAATAAGATCCACCAATATCAATGCCCTTTTCCAAGTGGCAGTTAGGATAAAATTGGATTTTTGATTGTCCGAGTCTGTAGGATAAAGGTAGCTACTATGGCAGCACCAAAGTTTCGACTGTTTCCTACTAGTGGTAGCGGACACACATGTCTCGGG